TATTCAGAAACGAGATGACTTGGATTTGGACAAATTTGTCATAGGTAAATAAGTCTCTTCTGAATCGGTCCTTTAGAGAATACCAAAGATTATAACTTACTATAGGCTTAGCTATTGAAATCAATATTGAAGTAACCCGATAAGCTGTAGTATTTTTGCTAAAGCGGGTAGCTTACAAAGCACTTGAGGGTCGATATATTATTAGATGTGGCAGTTATAATTATTTAAAATATCAAAGAGGAAAAGGAGTAAAATGGAAAAGAAAACTATGTTTTACTTGAAATTAAAATTTAGCCCACTTGACCGGCATTTGTTTTCTAAACGTTTGTACGATACGTACTTAGTCAATACAAATGACATTATATAATATATTAGTCGTAAGTCTAAGATATAATGGGGCATGGGACAGACTACCCTTTTGTTGTTTTATATTCTATAAGGTTATCAAAAAAATAGGGCAGAGTAGAACAGGCGGCTTCAGGATTGCGATTCGCACACTTTAGGCTAACTCCGCTCCCCAACGTTAGATGGCGCTTTCCTAAACATCGTATTAGTCGTATCCTATTGCTAGTAGCGAAAAATGTTTAATGAAGTGCACATACTATATATGGAGGGTTTCGTCACGCCTCGATTCAGTTACAGTTAATTTAATTGGAGCGAATCGTACTGGGGACTACGGGAATTTCGATTTCAATAATAAATAAAAAGTTATAGATGATTCAATGGCTTGATAGTGAATTTACAATTCATATAGGTGTTCAACACGAGAAAACAATATGTTCTGCGATTTGCTGATTTATATTATTGACGTTTCGAGTACTTTTTAACTGGCTTAAAACGTAGGACAATGTTATCAATATAATTTATTTATCAATCGCAATCGGAATATCCTAGACTGAACGTTTTCGCAGTTATATTCGCTAAAAGTTTTTAATGCGCTGAGCACTCATGTCTACCAAAGACAATATGATTTGCCGATTGGCGAAAATAAAAAGTATAATTCAAATTTCGAACATTCAGCAACAAGTGTAATCGCGAACTTTGACGTATCTGTGGTCAGAACTAGCGCTCTCATCTCAAATAGATCTTAGATTCTGACATGCCGAGGAATTACGTATTTGAACAACATAACATATTATAAACAATAAAACACATACTATGTTCCTTAATACCTCCAACGTCATTACGTATATAGTCGGGGAATTAGCCAAAAAAAAATTACTAAACCTTCCCCATAAATCCAATCTATTACTGTAAAATGGAGAACTTTTTTAATATTACGTGATTGAAATTAAGGCTTTCATACTAACTGAATTATTCAAATTGACAAAATCGTTAGTTAAAGATAACCTAAAATGATTAAAACCAATTGGTTAACACGACTGTGTGTAAAAGTCTATTTTTAACAGTAATTACGGCATTTAACTATTTTATAGCTCTATAAAAAATTTGATAATTCTTGCAAGGAATATGTATATATATACAGTATAATATTAGGTCCTTACATATGAAATTGGCGTATTTCGTACTGGCCACTTTAATCACGATGTTCTCCTCTTTGGTAAGGAATTCCAAATTCAAATTTGTACAGCTATTTACTCATGTATTTGTGCTTCGATGACCGTCTTTCATTTGTTTTTTTCTGTTTGCGTCACTCATTTTACAAAATGGAAAACTTAAAGTACCTATCGCATTATTTACGAGTACGAGTTCCGCCGTGGCACTAGTGCTGCGGAAACGACTCGAAGGGTGAATGATGTGTATGGCGGTCATGTTGCAAAAGAAAACACAGTTCGTTTTTGGTTCCAACGTTTTCGTTCTGGAAATTTCGACCTGCAGAACAAGCCCCGTGGACGGCCTGAGACCCAAGTTGATAATGAAGTATTGAAGGCTATTGTGGAAGCGGATCCATCGCAAACCACGTCCGAGTTAGCTGCAGGCTGCGGTGTTAGTGATAAAACTGTTTTACATCACTTGAAGCAAATTGGGAAGATTAAAAAGCTTGAAAGATGGGTACCTCACGAATTAACTGAAGCAAACCGGCAAACGCGCGTCGACTGCTGCGTTACATTACTGAACCGGCACAATAATGAAGGTATTTTAAACCGAATCATTACCTGTGATGAAAAATGGATTCTTTACGATAATCGGAAGCGTTACTTGTAAGCGTTAAGTGGACTAGTGCCGGTATTGTTCATTGCAGTTTTCTCAAATCTGGCCAGACTATTACGGCTGATGTCTATTGTCAGCAATTGCAAACCATGATGGAAAAGCTAGCGGCTAAACAACCTAGGCTGGTCAATCGCTCCACGCCACTGCTACTTCACGACAACGCTAGACCACACACTGCACAACAGACGGCTACCAAATTAGAAGAGCTTCAATTGGAATGTCTAAGACATCCTCCGTACTCCCCGTACAATTTTTTTCGAAATTTGGACAACTTCTTGCAAGGGAAAAAATTTAACTCTGATGGGGCAGTCCAAATCGCCTTCACAGATTTTATTGATTCCCGTCCGACTGTTTTTTTTAGTAAAGGGATCAATGAACTACCTATGAGATGGCAAAAGTGCATAGAAGACAATGGTTCATACATTGATTAATTAAATATATTATATTTAAAAATATTCGACTTTTTGTTCCTCCCATACAAATTTCATATGTAAGGACTTAATATATACAATAGTGCCTTTTTGGTCTGGGCCCTAGATTTCTGTATCTGGTCCGTGATCATTTCTAATAGTTTCTGACACACGCCGTCGACTTTTTGGGTCTAAGGTTGGGTGTAATGCCGGTTTCCTCACGATGTTTTACTTCACCGCATTTTTTGCTATCGCTTATGTGAGTGGTAAATGCGAACATAGACGAAGTCCATTGTTGCACAGCCGGGTATCGAACCTACCACCCTATGGATGCGAGTCACACGCTGAAGCCACTAGAGCAACACAGATTGCAAGGAATATCGATTTAAAATGTGAACTTTATCCATTCGACAGAGATTACGTAACCGTAATTACGCTGAGTTCCGTTTACCAAGCGGATGAAGCGTTAAATCCAATACACAGTTTAAAAACATCAGTAGGGATTTTAAAACGTAACGTTTAAATTTATTACTGAGTAAATTGTTAAAGACTAAGTCATCATTTAGCGAACATTGATTTCATATTTATGCCGTCGTCTCGCAGCTGTCATATTTTAATAAATCCGGGTTTATCCGCTAAATATGATTTATTGACATTATTATTCATTAGTATTTATTGCGCCAGAATAATCTATTTTAATATCGTTTATTAATTAAATACAATTAAAATATGTAAAGTACACTCTTGTGTACTTTTGTCTTGTATAAAAAACTGTTATGGTTGGATGGACTGGATTACTGTGTACGATGTCAATGAATCAGTAAACTATAACGTAAGATTATTAAAATATTTCTTAAATCATAATACATTAGCAATCATCTAACCAATATAAATGCTCCTAGTGCTCCTATTTCACCATGCTCACTGCTGATAGAGGATGTTTGTTTATTAGGTATATTTTTTTTTTACTAGTATTGTTAATTACTAAGAGATGTCATGTGGAACATGGTGTAATGGTATTTACAAATATTTTGTAAAACAAAACACTTGGCGATTAAAAAGAGCCGCGGAGAATTTATTGCCAGTTCTTCTCGTCCGTTCTACGCCCTTGATTTGAGAACTGGCAGTAAATGTGAAATTAGAAGCATTTAATATGTATTTCTTTATTGACGTTCATAAGTGTACATTGTGTTACCTAAATGAATAAACGATTTTGAATTCGAATTTAAATTTGAATAAGTTAAAAATAAGTATAGAATAAAGAAATAAAAAAAAATTGTGAACGAACGCGTTTTTCGAAATCATACTGTTCAAATAATGATGTGCTTGGAAACATTGGATTGATTGGGAGTGAAGTGTTGATGATTCCCATTATACAAGGATTATTGGTATATCTTTATCGATTTTCATTGGACACATAGGACATTAAAGTGGGGAAATAGGTACTTAATTTTCCGAAATATTTTTACTCATCAAAATGAGCGAGGCACTTTATTTAAATTTTATTAACAAAAAATTGTGTCAAGTTTTCTTTAGTAAAAATATTGATAACTCTTAACCCTTGAAAATCATATAACGCTGGCCACTTTGAGTTTTAGGCATGTTTTCTTTCAGCGAGTGTTAATAATTACAATTTATTTACATCACAATAACACGAAACAGGAGAAAAGTAAAATTAAATAAATAAAAAATGTAAATGGTAAGAGTTCTTCCAGACAACTCAAAGATAAATAATATAAACATAAAAATAAAAATTAAATGCGCACATAGAAAGTCCATTCCAGCCGGAACCGGGGTTCGAACCTCTTAGCAGCCGCAAGATCAAGTCACTATGCCATACTATTGTTCACTATTATCCCATATGTACTATCCTTTAAAATTAAAACATTTTTTAATTTTAACGGATTTACAGATGTGACAATTTACACTTAAATGAGAAAAAAATAATAATATTAAAACATCACGCCACCATCGTGCGCTGTCACTGCATTAGAGTCCATCTAACAAAAAGCTTTGCTGCCTTATTCGAAACGGGTCCACTATTTCCCGTATCTCAGGATGCAAGCAAGAAAAAAGTTATTTTTTTGTGATCATACTTGGTTCTGATTTTAGGTAGATCTATATTATGATGAGTTTTACGCCGGCTATCAGTGGGATTGAAGTTTAATTTAATACTCGTGTGTATTTGGATATGTAATTTTTTTTTCAAACTAAAATGTATGTTGTGTGCAAGTTCTTAATGTTCATTTTGTGTCAACGTAGAGTTTGCTAGTCAATGTAAGGGTAGGATAATTAATTAATTTTTTCCTTTACTTTTATTAATTGACTTGTGTCTAATTTACACTTACAACACTTGACAATGAAATAAAGCATTTTCTTATGCTAATCAAATAAAACTTTTGTTTCAGAATCAGCAGTATGGCTCATACATTGGCGAGAAATATTGTGCTTTTGGCATTAGCTGCAAGTGTTTGTAAGTATTTACTTGAGCTCGGGCTTAAGCTCTTAATTTTAATATATAAGTGTACAATACTTATCTACTTTATAACGCTTTTATAACATATTATTGTGAAATTAAGCTTTTAAGCTTAATAAATGTGAAATAGGTATTTTAAATAATAATTTTAGTACTTTAAACCTAAAGAAATATCTCAAATATAACGCATCGTTAATTCTAATTTTTTTTATGTAATAGGAGGCAAACGGGCAGGAGGCTCACCTGATGTTAAGTGATACCGTCGCCCATGGACACTCACAATGCCAGTAGGCTCGCAAGTGCGTTGCCGGCCTTTCAAGAATTGGTACGCTCTTTTCTTGAACGACCCTAAGTCGTATTGGTTCGGAAATACTTCAGTGGGCAGCTGGTTCCACATAGTGGTGGTGCGCGGCAAAAACTGCCTTAGAAAACGCTCAGTTGTGGAACGACGGACGTCGAGATGATACGGATGGTATTTTGTATTTTGCCTTGACGTCCGTTGATGAAACTGATGATTAAAAATAAAAACATGACTGATAGGTCTCATAAAGAGACATGAAAAGTTAAACAAATGATCGTGTAAGCCCAAGCCCTGCTTGCCCAATGTCCTATACCACTTGCGTGAAGATTCAGAAACGAGACTTTAACCATGACCCACGAACTATGGCTCATATATCAAAATCTATCACTTAAATTCATAATATTTGTATTGAGAAAGTGTCAAAGACAAACTTGGGTTTATTTACGCCTAGTAATGGAAATCGGCGACTTGAGCGCGACTGAAAGTGAATCTAGCGCCACCAACTCGACAATTATTGAATGAAAAATACAGATAATAAATATTGATGTAAGGTTAACAATACACAAATAAAACTTTTTTAAAACGTAACAAAAAATATTTTATTACGCTAAAAAATATTTGTTGTTGGTAAAAATGTACTTTTACCTTTGAAGTTATTCTCCTTAAATTTCAGTTGACATTAATGTTTAATTACGTTTTTGCAATGAATACATTTTGTACGGTTACACGGATAACTGAAAAGCTTTCTTTGTAATTATACCAAAAACAATAAATACCAGACTTCCTTTAACAAGAACAATGTTTCTGAATACGAATGTGTAAACTTGGCTTGGGCGCGCCTTTGACCGTCTTACAATAACGTCTCTGAAACTCCGAGCACTTTTATAAACAATTATAACAATAATAATTATTAAATAAACAAGTTAGTTCTTACTTAACCTTGGGTATCATATCGATATTAAGCTAAATTATTATTTCACACATTGTTCGTAGATTAATATCGAATCGAAAACTGAAACGCCCGAGTAGAATATTTCTTTCGTAATACTGATATAATTTTGACAAATCCTTTCTGGATTGGGTCATACGTCGCGACTTGTATTGCGATAAATATAATTCGACAGTATTTTTTGATACTTGTATACTGTCTCTATAAACGTACATAATAATGGTAAACTTAGATAAACATACGAGTGTTTAAATTTAAATATAATATTAGTTTTAGTACTTTAGACTAAGCTGATTTGCGTCAAACCACTAAGCTGGTTATAGTGAAATAATTTTGTTAATCCTTGTATTGCATACGTCGTGGCATTTGCGTAAACTAACACATGGCTGTCATGTTTTGATACTTGTTATAACATTGTTAATATGTTTACATAGTGTAAAATATCGGTCACTCTAAATTACGTAAACCTTTGCGTCTGAGGTCAACAACGTGCTAATAAATTTTCAAGTCAACTTCGGCTCCAAAATTTTTTATAAGAGGCGTAATAGCTGAGAAATACGTGCCTTATCACCGCGTCAGACAAATTAAGGTAAAGCACTGAGATGTTTTATAAATTTAAATAATATAAAATACGACGATATATAATATACTACGTAATTGATAAAATACTATATAGTATATTTACAAGCTTTTCCTCCGTAATTTAGCGTAAGTTTCTCTAAAATCTATCTCTAAAATATAATCTAAAAAAAGCAAAAAAGCGTAAATGTGCTTTTTAATAAGTTCCGTACAGATCAAGATAGATAACGTTTTCGCTAGGGATGCTTTCAATAAAATGTAAAGCCTACTGCGAACGAACGATTTTAATTAAACATTTTTCTAGCTAAGCCTTTACGCAAATTAAAATGCGCTTTAACGAAATCTATTCGATGTTTGACCTACTTTTAAGTTCAGTGGTGACAAACAGCGCAGGCCAGGAATGAAATTTGTGTAAGTTAGCACAAGTTAAAGACGTACCAAAGTTTCTTGGACCACTTTCAAGCTGTTGGAACTGCAATACAGTACTTTACAATTATAAAAAGCATAATATAACATTCTTATCATGACACTCCAGATGTGAACACCAAAAATTTAGTACTTCAATTTACAGATGATAAAAAACGATAAGTACAAGTACAATTACATCATCGCCACACATTTAACAATGCAAAACCAGTGTTGTTGCTTTTTTTACTTTTATTCTGATTAAACGTACTTTAGAAAGCTTATTTTGAATGACGGCTTTAGCGAGAAAACTTTGGTTTATGAAATTTATCAGCCCTATTTAATAAAATAAATCTCTTAACACATAGTATCAAAACATGTCAGTCTCGGTACAAATAAGACGGATGCTGCGATTAAGCTGAACAACTCCCTACAAGCCTGATTGGTAGTGTAGCGACACTCAATGGAAATGCCTATTTGCCTTGGTTGTTTTGCAATTTGTTAGTCTGTGCTTCATCTAAGGCTCTATGAGTCTATTTGATGTCATTCTTTCTGACAGCTTTAACTATGACTCTATGAAAGGCAATATCGGAGTACTATAAATCAAATAATTGTATACTTTATTTATAAGGTTTAAAATGAAACTATTTATTATATTAGCGACATTCTTTTGTTTGAAATGAATGTTGACATTTACAAAATCGGTTAAGTAGATCCTGGGTTCGATTTCGTGCAAAACGGAAAGATTTTCGGTTGGACGTAAATCCGGTATCCATCTATGAAAAATCGTTGAATCTTACAAAAATCTAACTTCAGCCAGTTTATTTAGTCTCTAAAATTCAATATATGTATTACATATTATAATTTATATTTCCTCTTTATTCATAATCGTACTATAATCCTTAAATAGGTTATAACTATTATGAGCGAAAATGTGTAAAACCGTGGCTAAATACGTTCCAAATTTAAGAATGCACCCTAGCTCTCGTGCCTCAAAGCAGTTCTAACATTACACAAAGCACTAATCTAAACTTATACTCATATCATGAAACTAAAGTTAGTTTGCAATCGGAAAAGCCATTATAAGCGTTCTCTTTGTTCGATAAACGAAACATTTCGAACGGTGTCGGCTAAATTCAATAATCCTTCCCTATTCCGGCTGAATTGAAACGCTATACGACTGATTGTTACGTCATGCTACACTCGAAAGTCTAAGCATTGGTGACTGTTGCTAAAACTTTTCTTGCTTTGTTTTAATAAATTACATAAACTGTTACGATATCTAGATTTAAATTGATGTGTAGTGTAGTTAAAGAGTGGTTTTTGATTTTATACGTTTCTAACAAACAATAAAGCATTTGATCTTTGTTAGGGTTTGCCTATTACTATTATAACATTTTCAATCACATACTGCAATGGGTGGCCTTAGTGACATACGATATACTGTTGTTTTCACATTATTATTGGTAAAAAAGGAGCTTTAATTACCAATTAATATTTCATACTAAAAACTCTACAGTCGTGAAACTTTGTATTTAAATCGACAGAATTTTAGCTAACGCATAATGAAATACGTTACGTTTAATTTTAATTTTCATCCAAAACTATTAATCTTAATAACGGGGCAAGATCCCTTCGGACCTACCTTTTTCAATTTCGGGCAGGTATTTTTGACGGGCCAAATGAATACAGTTTCGGTATGAAATACGCTTCATTCTTCGTTAAAATACCTATTATGAAAACGATTTCAAAATGGATTTTATACATCTCTGTAAATATTGTAATTTACTTTCTTAAAAATATATGTGTAAAAATAGTATTAAGTTTACTTTGTTATTTTGCAAGAAATAAAAAGGCTTTTTTTTATACTTCTCTGCAAATAAAGTTTTACTAGGAGATGAGAATTAAGATATGTATTGCATAAGTACTTGAAATTTAGTCTGATATATGTTTTGAGAAAAGCAAAAGCAGCCTAGAAATTGATTAACAAATTGCGAATAAAGATTATTATGGGTTATTTTAATAAAATAAAACATAATTTGTGCCTAAATTCATATTTATAAATGAAATTAATTATAAAAAAACGAAATCATTATAATTAGTGAAATATATAAAACTAAAGTATGTCTTACCGAATTAACATAAATATATAAAGGGCCAGGATTATTCAGCCAAAGTCAGAAATTCTATTTTAATGCTTCTATACTACATTAACTTGATGCCACATACAAAATAATGTATTATTGTGCTACCACCTGTATCGGGCACCATATTTGAAAGTGTTTTAACATTTAATTTCAAAATGAAAAATGAGTTTCTAGTTCATGATTACTAGAGTTGTGTATCAATTTATTAAACAAACAATACTTTTTTGTTTACTTACTTTACAACACCGGTGTTTTATTAATTTACATATAAATATCAGACACCAACTTAATATCAGGCAATAAATTCTATTAAAGAATATATATGTCTTTATTTGTATATGTATTCTACGCATATAACAGTTAATATTTTTACAGATTCAAAAGACTTTGTTGTGCAATCCCCGGTTGAAGTAACCACTGACACCATAGAAGCAACTACAGATCATGTATTGGATACTAGAAATGAGAGCACGAACAAAAGTACAGGAGAACCAAATATAAAAGTATTAGACAATACTCCTAAGCCTCTGGAAAGCGCTTCAAAAGTTCTACTGCCAATTATATCAAACGACTCATTCAATGACCTTAAATATCAAGTAAAAAGGCGAAATACTACGATAGTACCCCCAAGGACAGTGGAAGTACCCAAAAAACCTATTAGACATATATTAAAGAATGAGTATAAAACACATGTGCAATATGATGAAGTAACTGGTGAACTAATAAGCGGTGAACATCCTTGTCAAAGGGACTGTGTGGAGGGTGGTGAACCAATGATATGTTACTATCACTTTAGTCTTGAATTATATATGACAATGAGTAAAGCTTGTTTTGATTGTCCATATAATGAAACAGATTGTGATAGAATTGACTGTATACCAGCTGATGGGATCAGTCGGCCGTTGACAGTGATAAATAGGAGAATGCCTGGACCTGCTATTGAGGTATTTATGTTTTTATTGATACATCAACTAAATACACAATTGCTATTAACAATATAAATTGACTTGATTTTTTCACACCTTCACATAATTATTCCAAAGTATTCAGGTTATTTAATACTAATATAGTTGTACTATCCCAATAAATGAGTCAACTAAAATCCCAATCATCTGGGGTTTAAAGAAACCTAAGGGCATAGATAAAATATATAAAGATATTGATATAAGTATAGCACTAATTGTAATTGTAAATACTATGAATGATATTTTTTTATCAGTGTACACAAAAACATAGTTATAATTCCATGTTCCAACTTTGAAACTTTTTCATTATGAAAATCCCAGAAAAGTGTATTTTAATTTAAAATACACGAAATTCTTCTAAAATATAACTTGTATGTATCGCGTATTTTTTCGCCATACAAAGTGTGTGTCATGCGCTTCCATAATATTTCAAAAGGAATTTTTCATAATTGGAATTCCACGGGAACGCTCTGTGTTTTTATTACATAATTACCAAAGAGGTCTAACTTATTATATTATAACAAAAACTAATAACAAAATGCCATAATGTTAAAAAAACCTATTGAACACTAGTTTATTATTTATTCCAAAAGCTACAACAAAGAATGAAGTGTCTGTTTTTAATAAAAAAAACGTGTTTCATACTCAAAATAAACATAACTCACAAAAAGTATGAGTAGGTATAATAAAAAAGGTGTGAATTTTTCTTTATGCCTATTACAATTATGTATAATTATCTCCGGTTTTAAGCGTTATTACTATTCCAGTTTTTTGCTCATCTCTGTGGCAATTTTGTTTGAATCGTGATCTTAATTAATATGCTTTTGGAGCTTCATGGTCAAGAAATTTCGTAATAGAATTAATGACATCCTTCACATTCCTCTTTTATATTGTCGATACTGTATTTTGTTGTTATTTATTTGGATAAGCTTTCTCGTTTAGTGTGCATTTTATTCGTAATATCAAAGTGAAAAATATTTAAAATGAAAAGTAAAATCAATGTCGCGGATATCCCCAGCTATGCCTTGTTAGATAGAACAAGTTCAATTTCTAGAACAATAGTTATATAGTTTATAATATACAAACTAGAATAGGTATTTTTAATTTTTATAATATCAAGTTTTCCTTTTTATACTAAAGTTCTTAAAAATAGCGAGTTCTTAATAGAAATTTACAACGATAACAATAAATTGTATTGCAAAAGTACAAACAAAATATGTATAAACCTAGTTGCCACTGTGCCAATTTGATATTGCTTTTTCACAGGTGTGTCAAAACGATCGTATAATTGTGGATGTTGAGAACGATCTGATGACCGAAGGCACCACGGTGCACTGGCATGGACAGCATCAGAGGGGCACAAACTACATGGACGGAACACCATACATAACACAGTGCCCTATATTGCCTGAAACTACTTTTAGGTAAGCAAATTTACTACACACCACTAATTAAAAATATAACTGTAAAATTTTATCACAATATAAATTCGTTATAAGGTACTTGCGTAATTGTATATTTTACACCACACGGTATTAATGCACGACAAGTGTGCATATGTAATTAAACAATCATACTTATTGGTGTTAAGTGAAACTTGAAAGGGCGGCTCCAACTCGAAATTGAACCAAAGATATTTATAATTTTACGTAATTATTTAGTTCACAACGTGTAAATAACACGTTTTTTAAATGATTTGTTGCTTTATTTTAGGTACCAATTCAATGCTACCCAAGCTGGGACACATTTTTGGCACTCTCACTCTGGGATGCAGAGAGCTGATGGGGCTGCTGGTCCCTTCATCATCAGAAAACCCAAGTCACAGGAGCCACATGGAGTTCTTTATGATTACGATAGGTACTGTATACCTTAATTTTTTAAGAATGTTAATGCGTCGGTTTGATTTATATCTTCGATATTTTATCTATGTTGCATCACGAAAACCGCTAGAACGAAAGCAGTTTATTAAACTGCTAAAAATATACTGTGTATAGCATTTTGTTACACAACATTACATAATATATTTCTATAAATATCTTACAGCAAATAAAAACTTCTGCGCGAAATATATGCGATGAGGCTTTCAGCAGGACACGTGCATATAATAATAAGGGTTTTCCTGTAATGTGTAATATGAATCTTCTCCACTCGTTACTTTTAAGTCAGTGGATTTGTAGGTACCACTTTGGATGGTACAAGTCGTTCTAATATTAAGTTAACGGTTAATATAGTTTTTACTTGGATAGTTCTTTTAACCCTCAAATAAAATCCCCGACGGTGTTATAAAGATTTACCCCTAATTGTAGATATAATGGGTATAATGAACTAAACCGTGACTAATATCTGTCCTTATATGCAATATCACGCCTACTGAAATCAAACTAATGTATCCTTAAATTGGCTATGGAAAATTCCATATTAGCGTCATTTTTATTAACGAAATCAAGTTTTCTAAAAAAGGCTCGCAGGTTATATATGTCTTGTGATATCGTAAATTCTCTGATGAATCTGAATCATTAATTAATGGCTCCGTTATACATACAGGTAGGTAGAGTGACAATAAAGGAGAAGCTTAATATTCGGTTGTAATAACTTTCACTTTACAAGTTTCGGTCAAAGAAATTTAGTAAGATTAGGACTTTCATATCTAGTTTCTTAATGCATCAAATACTAAGATTGAAATAGTATTTTGCGTCAGGTGAATAGCCCTGTAGCTTTATAAAACAGAGCTTTTTATTCGTTACCATAGATAAGTACTAAGGCTTATTGTATAAGGCGCAAATATTTGTAGTAATATGTCATTTGTGTTTGAAGTAATAGATCAGTTGTATTTAGTACCTTAACTGTCCTAGTAAATCCTCTAACTAGATAGACATTAACGCCTAATTACGAGACATACCCATACAGATTCGATTAGCAATAATGGGTCAAGTTGCTGCAAGCAAATCATTTTTGTATAGACCCTCTTTTAGGACCAAAGCATTTTACTACCAAAGAAGGTAAATAGAGAATTGCTTGCTATGGAAAATTTGTATATCGTATGTTACTTTTACTTTTCTTTATAAGCTTAAAAATTAGTCTTACCCTGTTGCATATGTTTCGTGATGCTTCATTACGTCAGCATCCGGTTGGTTACACCATATTTGTATTAATTGAGTTGTAAACAAAAAACAATGATTTAATGACTTGATTATAAGGAAACAGCAAGCTTTGCCAGTTTCGGAAATTTTTAGAATTAGTCACTTTCAAATCATTATAATAAAGTGGTTTCTGTAATTAACCTAAGTTCAAGTTAAGCTTTATCATTATATTTCTACGGTTACTTTTAGTGTCTGTTTCACAATGTATGTATAAAGTACCAAATAGCTATGGAACACATAAATTATTTGGAAGATAAATTGTGCTATTTGACATTCATCGGACTCATAACTTATGATGGACTTTATGTGACGAATAGCGCTATCTGACAGTCGTGAAATGCAACAATAGTGTTTATCCTACCAATATAACTAATAAATAGCTAATTTGGAACTTATGTAGAACTTCCCCGTACATTGTGAAACAGACCCTTAGTGTCACTCCCGGGTTCCACATATGAAATACAATTGGTACAATATATTATATTAGGTATAGGTTTTATAAAATTACGACTATGCATTTTTAAGATATGTTGTAATTCATTACGGAGGCCGTTATTATTATAATAGTATTTTATATTACTAAACAATGTTCATAGATCTTTTATTTGTACTCAACATTTCATGATATTACACAATAATTCGCTGTGTGGGCGAAAGGATCACGTGAATACATGATCGGCTTCTTAATATAACTTTACTAATGTGATATGAGATACATGGACTAAATATTGTATTTATAGAACGCCTAGTTTATGCACTGGTTAATTGAATAGCTTTAATACCGAATATCAAGTCATAACTATACTAATTTATCCCTTGGGTACCGGTTTGAAGACTTAAAAAAGTGCGTGCGTACAGGGCCTGATTAACCCTTAGGCTAATTAGGCTGCAGCCTAGGGCGCGACGATCTAGAGGGGCGCGGGCGCGCTAAAATCGTGTCTTCGCTAGTATAGTCCCCTGCATATTCCAACTAGACCAAAACACTAAATAAACTGTGAACTGGAAAAAATTCAAAGTAAAGAGACCTGTCTTAAAGTGCACTTTAAGACAGTTAGTAAGTAAGTAGACTTTAAGTCAGCTAAAAAATGGTTTCAAAGTGTGCAAATTAAAGGACAGCGTTAGTTTCGCTTGCAGATCGATCTGAAATCTTTTATAGATAGCCATGTTAAAATTTTCACACTAGAAAAGAAAGTCAAAACTACTTTTTAGACGGACCGGGAACACATCTGTCATCTGGCGGGGGCGCATCCTGACAAATAGCCTAGAGCGGTCAGAACTCTTGATCAGTCTCTGCGTGCGTACAAAGTACACATGTCAGAAGTGAAACTTCTTTGGCAAACTAATTTTTAAGTCTTGTTCATATTTATACAAATCTAAAAGTTTAGATTTTCGAGACTCAGAGGGAGGGAAAAAGGAAGATATGTTAGGAATTTAATAAATTTAATTGTCATTAAAATATTAAGTGTCGAAAACTAATACAAATAATAAATTTAATTTTTTAAATTTATTTTTTCGATAATAAAAACACGTGGCATTTTAATTTAAAATTCGTCATTTGAGATTTCAATCAATTATTTTGCATACAATATATAATACTAATATTTCATTAATTCTCTTTACGAAATTTTAATTTTAAAAATATAATTTCTATAAGGTAATTCAGGGCGAATCTCAATCGGTCTCTCCGTTTTCTTCGACATAAACGCTGCACATCTTCGTGACGTTCCGTAAAAATTGACCCTTATGCGCTTAAAGAAGTTTCACTTCAAAAACCAGTGGCAGTATAACCTCAGATTTCTGTATCAGTTTCGTTATTATTTGCATTTTCGAATAGGCTAGTAGGTGATCTTTATGAGTTTTCTATGCCAGACACACAAAACATGGGTGCCTGGTATTTTACGACCCTCAGGAATGAGAGTGGCATGCTTAATGCCTAGGCAAAACTTCTTCTTGAAAGCTTAACACCTGTATAAGTAAGAACTCCATTGTGATTGTCTTAGTATGTAACTAACCAAAATACCTGCGTGAAAATTAATGCAGATCACAAAACATTAACATCCTCAGAAACATGTTTTGTACGGTCCTTTGAATAAAATTCAATTTATTCTAGTTATCGCCTCGAATTACTAAAAGTATAATTAAATTACTAAGAGTAAAGATATTTTATTACTAAAGGAAATTCACATAAATGCGAATTTTTTGCAAAATAAATCTTGTCCTTAATATTGTCGGTAGTGGTAATACCCATTTCCCACAGATTATATCTTGAGGCCATACTTCTTTTAGAATCTTCATGACATCACACGCAGTGCGGGTGAAGTCCCTTAACCCTGTTATGGGCAAATGACAAAGACTAGCCTTTGTTTTATTAAGACTTTTTTTAATAGACCTTTTAAGAAACATTCGTCAGCAATGGAACTTCACCTTAATTAGCAATGGAGGTACTTACGATAATATTCTTTCACAGGGCGGACCACGTGATGCTGATAACTGATTGGATACATGACCTGTCCTTAGCTATGTTCAGTGATCATCACCACTCATTAGGAGACAATAAGCCGCCGACTCTATTGGTCAACGGTGTGGGCAGGTTCAGAATATTTAACGACACCAATACGACTAAGCCAAAGTATATGAAGACGGCAAGATTTAATGTTGAACAGGTAATTCAAAGTTCTACCAAATTATGTACGCCATTGTGTCTGTAAGAATATGAGAAGTATTTAGTATTGTAATTATTGTACCAACACCATAACATGTTTGGTAACTGGATACTATTGCGCGGGCAACTAAGCCATTACAAATATTTTTTCATGTCTAGTAAAAATTTTCCCGTCGGTCTTGCTGTACATATTATTTATTATTATTTTGCTACTAAGTTTAGTTGACGCACTAATAATTAATTTATGTTGTGTCTACTTTGTATGAAATTAAATAATACTCTTGGTTTTTAGAGTGTAGTCTTTAATTTTAATGCAGTTATTGACAAATAAACCGGCTTCCGGCATATTTTCGATATTAAGCTTAACAATAGCAATTGTTTGTTTGTTAATAATATGTGTATTATATCAGATTGTGATTTGGAAAAAAGTTTTTTAAAGGTGTTTAAATAATGTTACTCAATGTTCTAACATGTTTATTTTAAAGAAAAAACTTTTTAACTGGATTAAAGTTATGCATTATTATAAATTTACAATTATTTAACATAATTTTAAATTTATCCGACGTTTCGCGTGCTTTACAGCGTGCGTGGTCACGGTGACGTCGGATAAATTTAAAATTATGTTAAATAATTGTAAATTTATAATCATGCATAACTTTAATCCAGTTAAAAAGTTTTTTCTTTAAATGTGCAAAGGTTATGTCAATAAAAGACAACACTATGTTTATTTTAACTGAAACCTACATATCTCTCTAGATATAACTAAGTTTACTAATGTATGAGGAAAGCTTTTGTTTGCATTAAATAGGATCCAAAACCACTGGACCGTATTTACAAAATTCTAAATCTTACTTTTCCCACTAACCATTGGCTGTAGAATATTTGCAAGAATGTTCGATATACATAAAAACTTCGATAATATACTTAAAAGTTGAGTAATGTTGTGAAAAAGCCAATGAAAATGTTTATATCGCGTACGCTGTGGAAAAAAGTGATGTACTACAGATTTATAGAAGACAGGTCTACAAAAAAGTCCACGACACAACTTGTCTATTACATATATCATAGAATAAATATATCTAACTTTAAAAACTTTTTTAGGGCTACAAGTACCGTTTTCGTGTCATCAACGCGGAGTTCTTGAACTGTCCTATTGAGATGTCAGTGGATGGCCACAATATCACCATCATTGCGTCTGATGGTTACGACTTAGTCCCTATTACTGGTAAGTATTCTTACATGAAAATGATGCATGCATACAAATGTCTATGAATAATCAAACATTAATAACTAGTTACTACAATTTTGAATTTGAATGTTAAATGTCGGTATTTAATTATATCAACAAAAATCATATTTTTTTAAATTTCAACTATATAATTCAAAGTCAAAGTCAAAAATTTACTGGTTCGATATCGCTAACAGCATTAACAAAAAGGGTGGTGGTTGCAGTTGCTTACCAACATTTTGCAAACAAACCTTGAGTACTTTAATAGTAATAGATAAATGGCAGTAAATGTAAATTTAAAAGCATTAATTTTATGTTCATTCATAAGTGGACATTAGGCACATCACCTACGTGTATAAATCATATTTTGATTTAGGTACAACGTTATAACACTAAGCTAGCACTTTGGTTCCTTAAGTTGTATCAAGTGACCTAAGACAAACTCAAATTGACATTTTTAGCCCTAATCTGTGACAGGAATTTTTAAACAAAAACGATTAAAAATCGATTGAAAACAAATCGTCGTAGATCGATTGTCAGAGAACTACAGGCAATAGAAATGATTTAAGCATAGACTATAAAAAATATATTAACTACAGAGCATAATTAATATACCAAACATTTTTAAAGAATTTGCTAGAAATAACCATAATAGAATAATCTTTGTCGTACCTAGTGAGTACTATTTCAATATCACACGACAACCTCATTCAGCTGTCTATTGTTAGCCGTATGCAAATTCTGTGCACATTGTCTGTTTCATCTCTACAATTTCGTTTAACAGTATAATTAAAAGTTGCATATTTAAGTGCGAAGAAACATAATTTCGTTGAGTGCAGATGTATTTGGAAATATACTAAAAGGTAACATAATTTACCATTAAAACGTTAGAGCCTATATGTTTTTTCTTGCGCGTAAATAAAATGACGAGATTGAACAATTTTTTACCCCGTATACAAATTCTTTAGGGCGTCGGGTTTTTGCCGCGATATCTCGAAATAACCGGTTTTTGGCTTTTATATATTGTTGAACTAAACTTAAACGAAGTCTTATCAGCAACCTTAAATCCATGTATATTCAAAAAATTGTAAACGTTAAATGACGCAATAATTTATGCTCAGATTTAATCATAACTTCGAGTTGGAAGCAATTTTTATTTACAGAGAAATACGAATTCAAAATTTACATTTTTGATTAAACGATAATGTTTACATGGTTAATTCACGTTGAATTTTTATTGAATTGCGCAGATTTCTTTTTGAGTTCTAAACACTCGTGGATTTTTCTGATTATCATCAGATTAGCTTTGAAAATATAAACGAAAAATAGCAAATAAATGTTGTATATCTTTAGTGCTTCAGTACTTCAATGTAAGGAAAACAAAATAGAAAAGAAAGTGAAATATGTAAGCTTCGCCTCTATTTAAAATTGAAAATGAATCTATGAATCTAGGTTATGAATTCGTATACTAATCGTGATGTATGCTATATGTATAAAGTAAAAAATAAAAATATTCCCAACATTGAAATATTACCAGAACGTATAAAAAACGCCTGCCAAAAATTATGTAGCAAAAATTTGTAGAGTTACATGTAAATAAGATCGTCATGAATTACTGTAATCATTCCAACGGTATAAACGCTTTAACATATTTATAAAATTAGTGTATGCTTTCATAGGGATAAATTACCTCGATCTTGTTGAAAATAACTTGAATATATTAAACTATTAATGACCTAATAATGTGCGATATTACGCGATTTTCACTACAGAATATTAACAAAATATTGATTTGCGAGCCTTCTTTTACTTGAGTTCTCTTCTCTGTCCTACGTGGGGGACATAGGAGCATGCAAATTACGCTGACCTGTTTTTAATAAGTTCATGCACAACATTTTAATTAGTTTAATTACAGGTTTTCACTGACCAACTCTTAGGAGTTATGGTAGCGCCTCTGAACGAATCGGCCATAAATAGAATCGTTAAATAAATTGTTACGTTCAAATTAAGTGTTTATATAGATTTATTTTTAATACCGGATGAAGACGAACTATCTAATTCATTCCTTTAAAGGGCATTAGTGATTCTCATTGTGCTTTGTAAATGCTCAAGTATCGAGGGAAAAAAGCAAGAAGGTTAATTGAAAACCCGGGGCATGCAAAATAGATCTCATTGGCGTGGGAAATCCGTTTCTAAGCTTTATCAACCAACTGATACACTGTCTACAATTCTGTTCCTATATAAGAAATTGGCATTTGTTTTATCAAGCCAATTTCTTTTTTTAGGTAGTTTTGGGGAGAACCTGTTTCTATAGTTTAAACTCTCTCCTTGGGGCATATCTGAGTGTCGTGGTCAGCTGTAGAGAAGGACGTTCCAACGATTTGGCGCATATGATTTGCCTCCACCAATTTCTGTCTCACGCTTCTTTTTCTTGAAGAAGAGGAGTCTTTCACCTGATCGGTCCATCTCGTTGGCGAACGGCCACGCGATCTCTTGCGTTTTAAGTTACCATCCCGATCAGCTTATCCAGATTCCCGTCGCTCCTACATAGTATGTTGTTGTCACAAGTAGAATTAATTGCCTTTAAAAAACTCTAACAATGAACTATTATATCTAAAGGCGGTTTTGTCAAATATATTCAGTAAAAACTTGTTAAAGTTCATTAATTATAACTAAGGGACAGAATTAGACGTGACTTTATGAAAAATTTTAATATATAAAGCGGTAAGTTCTAGTTATAACTAGGTTTTAGTTTAATAGAGGTACCTATTTGCTTAAATGTAGTTTTAACTAGAGAAACGTTTTTAACGGATGACGGGTATTAGTTGTTCAAAATCATGTTAAAAATCTTGTCCTATAGGCTTAGTTTTCAAGACAATTATAACTTACAAATTATACATTGATCAAAAAGTCTTCGGAAATAACCAAATGGAACTAAATAGCGTAAGATGATCATGCTTAAGATGCGAGCTCAAAGGAAATCTGTCAAAGGATATGTTTCATACTCAGTTCGTAACCATTCAGTCGTAGCAAATCTGCTTACGTGAAAATTAAGATCGAAGATACATTTATTATATATTACAGTGTTTTAATATTGATTACAGTTAAAATCAACCAAACCAACTTGAAAAAAGGAGGTTATCAGTTTGAGATATACGTGATAGTATAATATAAGGGAATTATTAATCATAATCCTTAATTAAATGAATTAGTAGAATATATAGGAATAATTCCTACGCGGACGCGGGTTAAGTCTGCCCAACAATTGTTTAGATTGCCAATGAACAAGATGAGACTTTGGATAATGACTTTTGATTTGAGAGCCAGCAAAAGAGGAAATATTATTCATCTATGTGCCAGCGTTCATTAAATAATTTCATAATTATTAAAAAAATTATTTAACCACCTAATGTATAAAATATGTATAATAGAGAAATATAAATATTTTCCAACCTCATCTGTGCTCAGTCCAGTCTTTATTGTTTTGTTTTTCTTGCCTGAAACACCGCTTGTTAGCGGCAAGCCTTTTTTAACGCGTAGGCATTAAATAAATAATACAACGAAGGTTTTACTGCGTAGAGCGGAAATTATTTCTAGAAACCCTTATGAAAACACACTAAACGAATATGCATCAGACCCGTTAGCATTTTCGTACCGTCGGCAAACTCTTTGATCTGAATATTCAAATTGAGCCCGACATCCCCGACTACTGGCGTTTTAGGAATTTGCTAGCCTTACATAACTTTGGATTTTTGGTCGAGTAAATCCCTAATAAATGAACTTTTCGATAGTTCAATAGCTATCCATAATTTGTAACATACTTCAATATATTTTCTTAAACGCGAATTTATTTCATACTTTACAGCAATACTAGCACATCAAGTTGTCTAAAAGTACTCACGTTATCTAAACACAATACTTATAAGCGTTTATAATAATCCGGTGGCAATGCAACCCTAATGGTCTCAGATATTTGCGCCTGTTCTCTTATTAATTTTAAAGCTGTAAATTTTTTAACACATATTTTTTTCTCTGTTTATTCAACCCGTGTCTTTTTTCTACGTCTTTAGTTTTATGTTATTGGATATGTATTGTGGTGTAACGCTCCAGAGATCAAGTTTAAAGTTTATAGTGCACTACCCGTAGATAGTTTATATTTTTTAAACTTTAATCGGTGACACTAGGTAGAATACTAAAAATAAAATCTAGTTTATTTTCTTGTATATAGTCTCTTAAGGAAGTATGTGACATTTGGTGAGTCAATAAACCTGTGACCGTTAATTAAATGTATAAAATATGTCATTTAAAAGTACTTTAGTTAAGTCCCAATTAGTTTAATCCATTTATCGAGTTAAAAAGGATTATCTGTACAGATTAGAATATTATTTTATCTATTAATATTAATGAATTCTATTTTAATTAAGTTTCCAAATACAACCGCCTTTACGTCTAACCATTCATCAAATACAAAGTTATCAGACAATTTAGGTTAGGTTTAGGTATCAAACCTATGATTAACAGATTTGGTTGTTTATTTTACCTTTAAAAAGAAACAATGATTCTTTTGCGGGGAATTGAACCCAGGACAGATCTATCATCAGGGTTTTACACTTGTACATTCCACATTCATGACACAATCCTTGATGTCAGAAGTGATAGTAATCTTAAAAAAACACAAATAAATTTTGGTGTTTATTTATATATAATGATACGGAAATCCAATTAGCGAGTAGAAAATGGGTAAATATGGGTAATGTGAACGGTGAATTAATCGGCGATATTTCACTAGAGAAATGATTCAAGAACTAGGTCAATACTAATTGTTACGAAATTATATAAACAAAATTATAATCACTGTCAAGGTATTCTAAGACTTTAAAGGAATAAAAAAATGGTGCGTGTACTTATGTACGCGCGTAAGAAGTTATACTTCTTTGGCTTTCTTTATTTTTTTTAAATATTAAATAATTAATAATAAATATTTAGCGTTAATAATTTAACAATATTTAATATTTAGTATATTATTCAATTATTAATTAATATTAATAATAATAATTATTATTTATTATTTTATTATATTATTAATTCAATTTAATAACTAGGTATGTTTCATAACCTTTTAACTAAGTAACAATAGGTCTTTGTGAAAAAGCATTGCTAAATTTCTTTGAAAAAATAATTAAAACTCCTTTATTTGTTTAAAAGGTACTACAAATGTCATTATGGTCATTCAAAATTCTTGGCATAGCTGCTAACGTCACGCATATTCTATTTCTTTTTACTTGTAGGTTGTCTTATTCCCATCTCGCTCGCGCACGCTCGGCGCCCATACTGATAATTTTGTGTCACGGTGGGCGCGCATCGTAAAATTTCACTCTCATAAATTTTTCATAACGCGCCTAAAGTAGTATAACTTCAAAAAGCGTTTGTCTTTATTATATTTTTATTTATAGGTTGACTTAAAAAAGTACAAGTACCAGGTTACTTACTTAATAAAGTGCCCGTGTAAATAAAGTGTCAAACAGTTTTGTAATATATTCAAATTATAACTACGCACGTCCAGTAGTTCACCCCTTTGTTGTCCTAAAAACATTGTATTACTTTGCTAGAAGCTTTCATGGGCTCCTTCATACAGTATTTAATTGGGCATTAAAAAAACGTGATCTCTGAAGGTTGTTGTCAGTTGTTGCAAAAGATTATTATCATAACCGTAATATATACACATATAACAGTTTTGTATCTAAGATCTCTACTGCTTAAAAAAATAAACATTTTATTAGAATAGCTTTTAGGCGATGACGTATGCTATTTTTAAATTAGGCCTTCGGCGTGACACGTGCAATACTAACGAGCCTGCAAACGTGCAAATATTTTATTTGAAGAACTTTCTTATTACCATAAATATGTTATTTAACACTTTAAACAAGTATAATTTAATACACCATCAAGTTCTATAAGAACCGCCACCGTGGCTTAGTGATTACGCTTTACCGGGGAATTTAAAAAAATCATAAGTATGATCAAGTTCTGACTTCTATATTGTATTTGCGCCTGTATTTTAAACAATCTTTGCCTTCGAAATACAGCCGCTGAAATGTTGCGTCATCGTTAAAAAAGTTACAGTACGAAAGATCCAATATTTCTGTTTTTTTACAGCTACATCACTCGTGACGTACGCCGGGGAGCGTTTTGACTTTGTACTGGAGACCAACAATGAAATCGATAATTACTGGATTCGTTTCCGTGGATTAATGGATTGTGATGAAAGGTATTTACCAACATTTACAAAAATATATGATGAACTTTTTTAGAATACGTTATGACACTAATGAAATCTCGAATTAGTTTATTGTAGAATTGAACAACTTTCGGTTCGGTTCAACAAAGACGGTTTCTTGAGTAAACTCACCATGCTAGTTAATACGACCGGTTACAATGAGCACAGCAGAATCGTAACCTACTTTATGCCGAGATTGAAGCTTTCAGTTGAATAATAATTAAATGACGAAATAAAATATGTTAAATTTATATCTATTTCTGTTTAATCATTTAAATTAATCGTGCAAAAGGTTTCGATTATAAAATACATTACTTAATCTCTTTGTTTAGATTCACTAAGGCAAAGCAAGTGGCTGTATTGCATTACGAGGGGGCGATGGAGGTGGAACCAAGTGGAGATCCCACCTGGGAGGAGCTACATAATGAGGGACTTGTGAGTATTTTGTAACGTAAATCTACTTAAAATTTATTGTATCATTATGGCACATAAGTATTGTTAATGAGGATGTTTAACCAAATTATTTGTGTAAGCTTCATGATGCGTGGTTCAGTGTCTCTTGGCAGAGGCCTTTAAAATATTTTCCACTGACATTGTCTGCCGCTAACCTTTTTAGATGAAGGCCTTAGTTGGCCTAACTCGTTTGACTCTACTTTCCTAAAAAATCTAAGGAAATTCAAAATGGTTAGCCCTTCTCTACTTTAGTTTCTCGTTTAAAAAAATAGGTATTTAACGAATGAACAAATAGTCCAAGTGCATGTTATCAAGTATTTGTCCTTCCGTAGCTTATATCGTTTTGTGTAAGAGTTTCCAATCAAATTTGTGCATATTAAGTTAAATTGTAGGTATATATTAGAAATAAATCTTTAAATCTTCTTTGATGAGAAATAAAAATTAAGGTTGTCGTAGGTTTAAGGTTTATATATTATTTAAAAACATTCATTAATATTACATTATGTATTTTACAAAAGACTTGCATTTTATTAGAATTTCTTAATTTTACACATCTAACGGGAGGTTTCAAAGAAATTTTCACATAAAGGAAATAAGCCCTTGTTAAAATCTAAGCCAATGCAAGCTGGCTGTAAGCCAGGGAGTCGTTACACCAATAATATGGATGAAAAGATAATTTGCTTTCAACAGAAATCTGATAATTCTTAAGAAGAGTGTTTTCTCGAATTTATTTTCATATGAAATTTTATTTTGCACGCTCTTGTATTGTTGGCAGGTTCTTGGCAGGTCTTTTTACAATGAAATTGTATCCTTTATTGGCTCCCCGTTCCATATACTGTTTTTTAGTTTGAAATATAGTTTTGGTATTTTAAGGTTTCTAATAAAAACAAGCCCACACAGCCAGAACAAATGTTCTTTATTTTCATCATCCATTTGGAGAAAAGCGGGACAACATAAATATTTTAAAAAAGGTTTTACTACTACTACTAACTACTTTGAAGCATGGTATAAGCGTCCAAAGTACAGTGTTTATATTTGCTTGGAGCTTAATTCTTCAAACATTAATAAATAACTTTATTTTCTGCACTGTAGTGAACAGTAAAACTGTTTGAGAAAAACAAAGTTGTATCAGTACATTGTTGTTTAGAAATATAAACATTACTATCACGTTTTGCCTTCAGACCTAGAAGTTAGATCTTTGTCAAAGTATAAGAAAGAAGGGCCCGTTAATAATAATCAGTCTGTGTCTATGATACTAATCGTTATACTTATAAGATACATTGAAATGTTATTACCAAACTTAAAAGGATTGTGTGGTTTTATGAAACCACGGTAAAAGTGAAACTTTTTTCACATTATAGACATTTAACTAAAAAATTTTGGAATAATATTCCACTAAGGGTATACAAATCGCTTTATCAATCTTAATTTTATACTTGTAAAATTGGAATGATAATGGGAAATAATAAAAGTAGACTAAGTCTCCAACTAATATTTTTATTGAACTCTGTGTCTTAGAGAGTACGACATACATAATACTTAACCATTATTTAGATTATATACACATATTAAATAATGGTCTATACACTACACGGTCAGCTGCTGCGAACTAGAGGCGCCGCCATATTGGCCTTAGCTGCTATGACGAGCGCCTTTCACTTTATCCCTACTCCGCGGCCGACCGTCACGCGACATGCAACACACAGACGAAAAAGTTTGAGACGATGTAATAAAAGTTTCACTTTAAAAAATCTTTGATTATTTGCATAATCGAACCCAGACCTCGATGTGTAATGCAAACATTAAACCATGGTTGTGGCAGAGAAAGCTCGGGTCTTATTATTATATACACTTAGTTTCTATGGTTTTACATCAATGTTACTAGGTTTTTAAAGACTTACTTAAAAAAAATGTTTACATAGTTTTACAAAAATTAAATATACCTCCAATTAATCGCACTTTTTTTGTTATAGCAACTAAACGCTCTGAATAAAGGTGAGGAAGATGAAGAAACAATAAGTGTGGCTGAAATGAGGTCCCTCGAAGGATACGATGACAGTTTGAAGGAGGTCGCAGACTATCAGTTTTACATTGCGTATGATTTCTACCCAAAGAACAATTCTCATTATCACAGATCACCGTATTATGGATATTACCAAGGTAATTGCTTATCTGAGGAATTATTTAACAGTTCAGTGTGTGTACAAACATTTTCGAACAATTTATATTTCTATTCATAGAAATGGTAACAAAGGCTTAATTTGTTTTCTTTGCTCTTAAATCTTTTTCTTGAAGTAGTTCTATGCGATATTTGCCTCCAGTTTCAGTTGGTAGAAGGTAAATTGTTAATTGGCTTACCTTTTTCGGTTTCTATTGGTTTCTCACTTTTCTGCCCCATGCCTAGATGGGTTGAAGCGGAGCTTGTGTCTCTATAAACATTCTGTTTTGTTTTAGTTCCAAATCCCGACAATCGCCTATATACACCACAACTCAACCACATAAGTATGAAGATGCCATCGAGTCCCCTTATGATCTCTCGGCCGTCTGCCGATAACTTCTGCAACGCATCTAGCATAGACGAATCATGCAAAGAGGGCTACTGTGAGTGTTCTCACGTTTTATCAGTCAAAAAGAACGCGGTAGTAGAACTAATTATAGTAGACGAGGGTGTAACGTTTGATGCTAACCATCCTTTCCATTTACACGGCTATTACTTTAGAGTAGTTGGTATGAGACGGCTAGCTGAAGAAATCACTGTAGATGAAATCAAAGCATATGACAAAGCAGGCCTCATGAAACGAAATCTGAAAAATCCTCCCCTCAAAGATACAGTGACGGTACCGGACGGTGGCTACACAATTCTAAGGTTCAAAGCTGACAATCCTGGTTATTGGTTATTCCATTGTCATATTGAATTTCATGTAGAAGTAGGCATGGCGCTGGTATTTAAAGTGGGCGAAGAAAAAGATTTCCCTCCTATACCACGAGATTTTCCAAGGTGTGGTAATTATATGCCTGATAATATGGTGGAACATGAAACTACACCAAAACCTAGTAATGATAATCAATTTATTTCAATAACACATTGGTGGCCAGTGGTTTATGTTAATAATACGTCAGGAGCTGTTAAAATTACGTCATCAGTTTATGCTATTTTATGTATCTGGACATTAAGAATATTATTAAGGTATCTCTAGCTTTGATAAAAAGAAAAATGTAAAACTACGAAGTATTTATTGGAATAATGAGACTTTGAAATTGAAATGTTATTTGGATTTTTTTTAACTGTTTTTTTGAGACCAGTAGATAGAACAATCTTTTTAGTAAACGCACGTCACTTTTATATCATTGTATTGTCACGTTGTGACTGCGAACATACAATATTTTATTGATTTTTAAATTACAATTAGGATATTAGTTCTTTTTTTAAAACTAGTATTTTCACTATTATTCTAAATAATACTTCGAAGTATCAATATTTTGTTATCTGCTGTTGTATCAGTAGGATTTATTTTGTACTTATATAAAACGTTATTTCTTATATTTAAACCACCATCAGTTTTATTTATTGGACAGTACTTATATTATATTTATTGAAGATCGCCACTTTTCGTTAGTTAACACGCGTTGACCAATGATATTGTAAATATTTTCCAACTGTGATCTATCTAGTAGCCTTGCCAAATACCAAAACATTTAAGAAATGTTTAACTTTGGGTGTCAGTTATTTTAGATACTAAAATTAATCCTCTTAGCATTTATTATATCCATTGTTAAATTAGTGGAGGTATAATCTTTATACATCTCGATATAAAAGGAAAAAATTATAAAATTATGTTCAATGAATTAAAAATATACTTCTTTCTCCAGTTAACTAAGGATTTTATGAATCCCAATAGAATATCCCTAAATGATATTTCTTTTGAAATTAATAAATGTTAAAAATCATTATTAAAGTGTCTTCTAATTAACTGATGCTCAACAATTACGATGGATGTCGCTGATGATATGTGATATTTAATAGTTTTTAAGTAGCCCTAAGATTTGTGTTATACTATTTAATGATTATGATTAAAATCCAACTAAAAACGATTGTTTTATTCCGTATAAGGTACCACTGCGAAATTACCAAAAGTTATATCGAGTTAAGCAGTATTCAAAAGAGACGTTAATAAGTTTACGTTTTCTTATAATTAATTGAAAGGATTTCCAGAGAAAATTTTCTTCGTTGAAAATTCGCAGCACGAAAATGGTATATGTTTCTGTTTCAGATCGTTTTGAAATTACGTGTTATATTTTCGTAATTTTGCACTAATTTAGAGCTTTCCACGCGATGAGATTTTCGCACAAGTCTAGAATATCTACCGAAGCTTTGTCTTAACAATATTTAAAGTCTGCAATTCGCAAATTTGACCTCCATTTTATGATTATAAATAATAATTTGAGTTGTTATTATAATGTATGGATTGACCAAGTAATTAAAGACAATGCTAGATGCTACTGTGAGCCTAACTAACTTTGTGAGGCTGACACTATCTTTTGTTTCTTGTATCGTGATACTCGTAAAGTACCGAAGCCATATTTTTGCCTTCGTTTCAGTCACCATTTCACTTACTACGTTAAAGTTGCGTTGCGAAGCCCTGAATATGTTGAATAATCTAAGCGCGTGTCAAATGAAACAAAATATTTAGATGCAGATATACGAGTATATCTTCAATATTAGAAGGCTAACATACTTATAAGTAACCTTTCAATTTGTTGGCTTGATTTCCGCCACTCCAATACTTTTTATTCATTTAATAAAGGAGATTTATAAATTAGAAGCATATCGCTAAACTCCAAAAAAGTACATTGTTTCTTTCCATTATTCGTCATCGTTTCTTGAAGTAGGGCGAATGGAAAAAATATATGGTGGAGTTGAGTAGTTCATGTATCCATTTTGAAAGATCGATACACGATTTAAATAACTTCGCTCGATAGAAAAAAAATCCAAACATAGCCAATTTTTATCACTTTGAATTCATTTTATGACGAAAATGTATATAGAACATAATTTTGAAATTTACACGATATATTTAATCGCAAGCCAAGTAATCCATTTCAGAAAAAAAAATGATAAAATTATATTAATTTAATGTTTTAGATAACTAATTGTTATTACGGGCCGACGCGACGCGCCTCTCCACTGCGCACCGCAGTCCACCCCGAGACACTGACACAGCAATTCGTGCTGGGATAAGGCCTTAATATGTATTTCTTTTTGACGTTCATAAGTGTACATTGTTTTACCTAAATGAATAAATGATTTTGACTTTTGACTTGTATATGGTCATATAATATTGTGAATTTATAAAACTTGCACTTCAATACTTATAATTACAAAATTACAATCAATATCGTTTTGTAACAGATCCGTCTATTGGGCGTATACGGTATTACTTAAGCGATTTACCACCGTATTCAAATATTGAAATAATGAAAAAGAAATTCAGAAATTTCTACAATGTGTTGCTACGTTTATTATTTTCATTTAGGTAGACAATTCGATTGACTACCTCGAGACTGTTAACAAAAATATATCTGTCAATAATCCTAACTGAGAGATTTTGTTCTATATGTATCATCGATAAGCAAATCTATAAGACTGCTGAAAACTTAAGCAATTAAGATAGCGTGAACGTAAATCAAGTCACAAAGGGCCGGTAATAAATATCGTTAAAAGACGGGTGAGAAAAATACCTGAACCTCTTATGGGAAATGAAATGTTTGACTAACCTTTTACGGTCCCTTGAACACCTATACGAAGTAGTTGTTAATTTTCATATCTTCGAGTAAGGTTGACAACACGAGACTCCACAGAGGACACAGAATCTTATCAGGTTTAAACGTTTGACCTCAAAGTTGGGAGTCATACTGGCGGACAGCTTAAAATATCGCTTATTCTAACAAAAGTTCTGATACCAAAAAGAATGACTGATACACTATATTTTAATTATTAAATACTAACGTACATATATAGTATTTCATTTGCAACATAAATTATGTATACGTAATTTATTCTCCAGTATGAAGTAACCCAATAGCGTTGCAGCGCTCATAAATATTATAGTTCCTGTGATGAGCACACAGTTTGCTTTATCAACCTTCAATATTTGGGTACACCCGTATAATGAAGCACTAAAAACACAAATGAATTTTCACATAATTATTTACAAACTATAAACACAAAGTTTTATATAAAATGTACTAGTCTCATATGACTATTTAAACATCTAAATTTTATCATAAAAAAACTTATAGAAAAGATTATATGATTGAATTATCTGTAAGTAGCAAATACACTACATGTCTAATAAAAAAAATGACATTTAAAACGTACTGTATAAAAAGGCGTGGCGCGGATGTCTAAAGGATCACTCAAGAATAGCAAGACGTATAGCACTCAAGAATAGTAATTTTTTAAGTTGAATATTCTTGTCTCGCATCGTTTTAAAACGGGACTCCGTCAAACTCTTAATTAGCGTCATGCGCGTATCTGAAAGCTTGAAGAAAATAACAATAACTTGTACTTCTAATCACGTAGGGCTCCGTTGTAAGCTTAGGTCACTATACACATTCCTACTTCTTTAATATACTCACTTTATGTGTTCTGGCTTGCTCCCCTTTTTACTACTTCCATTACCCAAGGAATGCACCATAAAGCATACGTCCTTATCCTTAACATTTATTTAATTACATTACTCAATTTCCCTTCATTGTAGGCCACACGAAAGCTTTAGTGGTAGGGAATTCCGAAGATTACAACTCTTCCAATGATTCTTGAACGATTAACTAAAAGGCTTTGGGGCTCTTAGAGTTGTTAAGCCGTTAGTTTCGTTTTGAGTTTGCCAATATCATGACAACTAGAGAAACTCCTGACACTCCATTCATAAATGGCTTCAGTCATATACTCGTAGATAGTTTACTTATACAGTAATTTAATTCCTAAAATATAATGTCACAACGAGGAATAATTTTAGCAATTTATGTATGTTAACCCCCGAGCGCTGCAAGTACTAAGATTTGCCATTGTACCTCGTAACTGAACCGAAATACAGTCGTTATAATAATTGTAGACAATTACAGTCTGTCGTAGTGACCAGCGTTATCGCTGAAATAATACTGAGCAGACCTCGGTCAAACTTAGGAAGTTAGAGAGCTTTGTTGGGAACAATTGGTGATCCAGTTTTTATATATGTATATCTGTGCCCAAATGTGAAATATACTTAATCTTATACTATATTTTAATCAAAAAAATTCACCTTCTAAGCCTTAATTAGGCACGTTTTTTCATGTTTATTTTGTTGCAGTAACTTGAGAGTGGCTTGGACTTTGATGTGATTTTTAGAGAAAAATATTTATGGTAGGGGAGCCCAAGAGGGGATTTCGGGATTTACTAAAGCGCGGCAGATTAATATACAGGGGGATAGCTTGTACTCGGTTAAGTACCTCCACAAAACATGAGGTCCATATATAAAGCCGCCTGTGAAGGAGACAGGATCAGATTAGTAAAAAAAAATTGACCATCAGAAATTCCCGAGCGCATCAGATTAAGGTAGGGTGAGTTAATTACATCCTAAAAAGTGTATATTCCACTAATCTGACAATTTGAGAGTGACGGAAAAAAGGGGAGGGCAACAAAGTTGTAAAAAAAACGTCATCTCGACATTCTCGAGCGTAGCTAATTTTTTTTTATTTTGAAGGAAATAATTCAAGAATAATGAAAAATATATAATCTGACGATTTCCGCAAGCCGAAATAACAAAAATTCGTCGATAAAGTTAAATGCGTGCAGCTGCGTGATGCCTACATTTCCTTAAACCGATCGGAATCTACTAAACGGCGTTCTAAATATTTCCCTCAAAATTACATTTCCTGTGAATTTGAACCGATTCGGACCGATAGATTTTGAGAAATTTTGAAAAATCTTAAAAAATAAGAAATATTTTTTTTTAAAGTGGTTTCTTTATCGATCAACTTCAAAAACTAATCCACCTTTGAGCTTGAAAAACCACGTTGATCGCCACTAAGCTGGTCAAAAGCGGTTGATTCGTTCGAGAGATATCGTGAACGAAAGAAACCCGAAAAAGTGTTTATTCGGGATTACTCCGAAATTTGTGGTTCGATCAATTAAAATTGCAAAATTACTTATGAGGAT